TCGTTTCTCACCCCTAGATCTATCGTCCCTCCCTGCCCGGCTAGATATTCATCCATCCCTTATCATTTTCCTTTTACCCTCCATCGGCCGTCTCCTAGCGCTCTTCTTTTTTTCCTCTACGTCCCTGAAGTGCTCAGTTCACCATTTCACCCTTTCCTCTCTCATCTCCGTCCACTTGCTCAGATGAGGGTGTCAGGTCAGCAGTAATCAATGAAAGACTTGTCCAGGCTATGCTGAAATGAGTCAGCGTGAGTGCATGTGTGTGCGTCAGTGTGTTTTCAGGTGTGCTCGAGCTTTGATGAGAACGTGAAGCAAATTAGCAATTTCATGGTTTGCATATTCACTGCATTTCAATGTGTCTTTAAGCGAGTTAAAGCAAAATGCATCACACGCTGGTTAAGGCATGTGTGTTTCTGAGTGTGTGTGTGAATTAGGTAGTCAGTCCAGTCAATATTCTCAATCAATACCATAATAACTCCTTCTCCCTGTGGACGCTCAGAGCCTCGCACCAGACCAAGTTCAATTGTTTGTTCTGTGTGTCTTTCATCACCTGTCAACTGAGCCACAAGTCCCACGATAACGCTATCTCTGCCAGATGGAGCTACATGAGAGCGTGTGTGTGTGCTGTGTGTGTATTTTGGTGTGTACAATGTGAATGTGTGTGATCATGCCAGAGATGAACGACCTCAAACTGGCATTTTGTCTCCATCCTGTACTGATGACCCGCCCTGCTTAATTACATTGTTAATGACTCATCCTCGTTAATGATGTTTGCCGTCTCATGAGCAAAGAAATTAGCCAAAGGGGGGAGCTAAACATTTGGAAGGGTGAGGGAGGGCGATGGAAGGGAGGGAAGGTTAGACAAAGGCTGAGAGAAAGGTAGAAATAAACGAAGGTTGGAGGGCTGTGGAGAAGGAGAAGGGAGAAGTTATAAAGTAAAGCATGGATTATTTTTATTTTTTTTAAAGACACATGAGAAAATGCTTAGTAAAGGACACTTTCTAGATACATTTCTTCCTTTCTTTTCTGGACATATTATTAGGACATATATCCTTATTGGTTATAATCATTTTCATGTCACATTTCAAATGCTGCCATTCATTCAACATCAGTTAACTGACAATACAATAACTGCAATATTAGCCTAACAATAGCCAGCGTTATTACGTATAATCCAAATAAAACGAGAAATGCAGTCAAATTTAAAAAAAGGTGAATTTAAAGGTGCATTTGTTTTATGGCAGATGAACAAAAATGGAATTCATTAAATACAAAGAAAAATAGTTGTAATGTATTTGTATCTGCCTCTTCATTCTCCCCACCATCAATCTTTCATTTGCAGCCCTAACCAGCTCTGAGTGCATGTGCATGCTATCTAATTATTCTTCTACTAATGAGATGTATCTGGTTATAAATGGGCAAATTAACAGATGTTAGGAAAATATGGTTAGTCCACGTGAAGGCTCTCTCTACACACTTTTGTTCCCAGACTTAAACATTACAGTCCTTTAGTACAACAGAGGATAAGGGCTGTCACTCTTTTAACAAATCAAGCTTGTACAGGGCTTTCAAACTAAAAGCACACGTTTGAAATCAGGTGGAGAAAAGCTGTTATTTCAAAAGAGGAGAAAGGAAGTACCTTTTAGTGCAGCTTTCCTAGTCAAGACCTGCACTGGAATTAAGTAGACATTCAAGAGAATTAAAGCTACTGTACTAAATGGCATTTAACAAAGTTAGCAAACATTTGTTAGCATTACCTTTGTCTAATTGTTCAGTATAAGGGTTGAAGATAAAAAAGGCCTCTACACACTTCAGTACAAGGCAGGGCTAGTTGTGCTGATACACTGTACATTTTAAAATTCAATGGATCATAACAAACCAAATATTAAATTATTTTTTTATTTTGATTAGAAATTGACACTCTTTTGATGTAATTTTCTTCCATTATTTTGAATGTAGTATCACCTCCTCACAAGTTATTTTTGGGGGAATTTGTTACAACCAGCTAGCTTACTGTGCTCTAAATTCAGTGTTTGATTTGTATCATGGTTTGCTCCGGAAGCAGCTAAAAGTCACTAGCTTCATTCCCTTTTATAGATAAGATAGAAGCGAAGTGAAAGCAATGACAGAAGCAGTAAGAGTAAGAAAGACAGTTGAGCGGGAAGATGAATAAAAGCAGTGAAGGGGAAAGATGAGGAGAGAGATGAAACCATAAATCTGAAGTTCAGCAAAGGATGCGCTCTGAGGAACTCAAAAGTTCTGTGGAACAAAAAGTATGTATTTCCCCTGAGAGGCAGGCGCAGTTTAGAGAGAGAGAGTAAAAGCAAGACGATTTTAAATTCTTTGGGCCAGTTATTTTTGGAAAAGTTCAATCAAACCCTGGAGTGTTTGCACCGAAGGTTTAAAATTGTTAGGGGAGCCAAACACATCAGTGTGACTCGGATGTGGTCTAAACAAGCACTTCTTGGTCAGCCTTTGGGAGCGCTGTAAATAGCCGATTCTTACTAAAGCCTGGGTGGTTCCTGGTGGAGGAGGACCAAACGGGAAGGGGCTTGTGTGTTGACAGGAGCAGATTGGCTTTGTATTGTTGGCTGTTCTTTTTAACACTCAGATTCAGGGTGGATCCATACAAGTTTTGGATTGAAACAAATCAATTTAAAGCTAAACTTTACTGAACAAGGCACCTTTTGCCACAATGACATGTTAGTAGAGTGTAGAAGAGTCAAACCAACTCAATAATGTGTTATATAAAGCATTGTACCTCTGCTAACATTAGCCAACATAAGCTACCTGATTCCCCGTCAAGGTAGAATCAGGTAAGTACTTTTTTTTGTTATGAGAGTAAGATTACAATATTTTGTTTTTCAAAAGTTACTCACTGTTCTTCGGTTTTTGTCTCGAGGCCCACAAACATCACATTTTAAAGAACTACCGACTGCACCAAAATAGGTGCACTTGAACACAGCACGCACCTTGCACATATTTTCCGCAGCAGTATACTGTATTTAGCATTCAAAAATGGAAACTGGATGTCTTAGATTGCAGATATAAAAGCTGTTGTTCTGGTACAGACATTAAAACAGAACAGCGTAAGCAAACACCTTCACACCACTCTCGCTAACAACTTAGCTTCCTTAAAGATGTCGTAGAAATATCAGATAATTGGAACGATGTGAACAGAACATCTGTGTGTGACCTCTTGATTTGATTTGTTTTGTTGTTTTTCTCACTTCCGTTCTCTTCACATGCTCTGATTCCTTTGAGCTGAACAGATTCATTTCTGTTACCGACGTTTCTTCAACATCCCTGGCATGTATTGTGCCAGCTGTGAGTTCAACTTCCATTGCAACACATCGTGTAGCTCCACAACACAGCCCGTGTTCCAGGTTGATGATCACATTTTGATTGCATATTCAGTGACTAGATATAGCACATTCTCAGACATGGAATAATAATGTCCTGTGTTTCCATGCCAGGGCAGGATTGTTTGCCGCAATTGTTTCGGCTCCCCATGGGGGCCTGAAGGGAGCCCGGGGAGATAAAAGTTAGGACTTTGACATGACTCTGCAAGGAGAGCTGAAGGACAGGACACGTGTCCCGACAGTCATTAGGCTGCCTCTGCCCCCACACACACTCCTCTTCTATAACTGTCTCACAGAGGTCTCCTCCCCAATCACAGAGGTCCCTCTCGTTCTCTCTGGCTTCTCCCTGTTTCTCCCACTGCATGCTAGATAAATGTTGTCCTCTGTCTCCGTCTCTCCCCTTTCCTTTCTCCCTCAACCCTCTCTGACCCTTACAGGATGTGTCATAGATGAGTGATGGTCCGGCTCCATCCCCAGGCCCAGTCAGTCCTAATACAAATAATAAACTCATATTACATTCATTCCTATGAGAATATCGGCGCAAGAACAGAGGAGGGAGCAAATACTTTGAAGGTTAAGAGTTAAAGAAACCTGACGGTAAATGAGTCGAGACGGCACAAAAAGTATGGGGGGATTATAGCACAGGGGGAGAAAACGATAAATGATGAAGACAAGATAGAAAATGATGACTCTAGGAGGAGTGGTACATTTTCTGAGGACTCCTTCAGGGTATTGTGTTGGCATCAGGCCCCTGGCATGGCAGATTACTAGTGGCTGCTTCAAGGTCTTTCTTCTCACTCTCTGTCTCTCAGACAGGAAATGCTTTGACATTTTTGGAAATGTGCTGATATCTAATGAAAGTTATATAAGAAAGATGACACCGCTTTCTAATGTCTAAACAATATGAAAACAGCTAGCTGGGCTCCGTCAAGAGGTGATTTATCTGTCTACCAGCGCTTAGGGGCGACTGTGGCTGGGAGGTGGTGGTGGGTTCGATCTCAATTAACCCCAAATGGCTCCCAATGGCATGCCCAACTGTGTGTGAATGTGTGTGAGAGTTAGCTTCATTGAGCAGGTGGCTACTTGTACGGCAGCCCCTGTCTCTGTATTAGTGGGTGTGAATGGATGAATGCTGACTTTGCAAAGCAGTTTGAGAAGTCATTCAGACTGGATAAGCGCTATATGAAAGAAATACCATTTACCATTGAAGCTTACTAACAAGTTATATCTTCTCTGAAAAATGAAAATAATTTTGGGGAGTTACTGTATACCCTAAACAATTTCTGGCTAGTATTTTAACTTGTGTTGGTGTCACAGCTCATTTCCTGACAGCTGGTCAGGACCAAAAAACAGCCAGGGCCAAGGACCATCATTAATAACCCCACCTAAATGTTATATTAAGGTTTCAACACTGTTTTTGTGGTTTCTACAAACTAAACAAAGATAATATACATAGAGCTAAGAAACATCTACTTGTAGGTGTAATTGTTTCCTTTGGACAGAGCCGTGCTTGCTGTTTCTCCATGTTTCCAGTATTAATGCTATCCCAAATGTTGAAAAATGAATTTAAGAGAAAACCCCTTAATTCTCCATGTCCGCACACCTTCACCACATCTCTCTGTGCCTCCATTGCTCCAGTGTGAAGATGGTGATGCTGTGGACAGCCGGCGACGTCTTCAAGACCGTCTACTTCGTGATGAACGAGAGCCCGGCTCAGTTCTGGGTGTGCAGTTCGGTCCAGATCCTGATCGACGTGGCCATCCTGCTGCAGGTCATTTTTTACAGCCAAGACACACGGGTCAAGCTTGGCTAAGCACGACGGCGACTCAAGGCAGCGGAGAAACCAGGGCACGTGTGTACATTTTTTAAATGTTGATATTTGATGTATTTTTAATAAAACAATAGGTGCCACATCGATGGAATTATCATGATGGATATTTAGCATCAAGAAGTCAATATAGATTATTTTTTGTTTTCTATAATGGTTTTCCTTGAATCAGTGTACTTTATCATAAGGGAATCATGTAGACCCAATTTACCTTCAACTGCAATTAGGTAAACCAGTTTAACCTTGATCAAACTACTTTTAGCCAAGCACAATGAACCACACCTTTGCCTTTACATTTTTAAGATAATGCAGTATTTTTGTGCATTTGTTTGCACTATTTATTTGTTCTCTGTTGAACATGTTCTATATCCTCAAGTGTAATGGACATGGAAACTGTGAGAGTGAAACATTATTCACACTGGCAGCTCTGTTCTGCAGGACTGGCATCTGTAGCAGCCAGTCCTGCACTGGGCTCCACTTCCTGACTGGTTTACACTCGACACCTCGCTGGACTGTTGTCATGACGCATAGTCTGTCAGGATGTGGCATGCTTGCTGGTGTGTTCATGCAGCCCAAATGGATTTCTGCCGTTGGCCAAACCAAGGCTGCAGAATGTACACAAAATCCTGTTAACTAAGCAAGACATCAATCTGGTGCTTTGTGGTTTAATTGACAAGCAATGCAGCTATTTCTCCAAAGTATGGGAAGAAAAATGAACTACAGAAATGCTGCCATAAAAATGTTGCTGTAATGCTTTGATTCGTAACTAAATATTTCGTAGATACCAAAGAACTCATACCTCAGATCCAAATATTGAAGGTAAAGTAACCATATGTGTGGCATTGTAATCTCTAACATATCATCGCCCTATTACTTGTTTTGAGTGTCCCATCATCTGCTGATTCTTTCGCTCTTTAAAAATACTCTTATTCTTTGAGACTCTGAAACTGTGAAAAGATGACTGATGATGACAACTCCTATTCCCTACTGTGAACATTTGTTTTGTACTACAAGAAAGATACCTGTAGGACTTTATGAAAATGATTAGGTCAGGGAGGAGGTGCTAAATCTTGTGTTTGACTTTCAAAAAACACAAGAACCTCCTAGGAAGTAAAACTGGAAATTGCCAAATGTATAAATCAACTATCTTTTTTTTAAGGGCTGGTAATGACTAACTTGTTACTATTGCCAGTGTGCCAATGAGCGACCTTGGCAGAGCTGCAAACTCTGAAGTACTCAACCAAGAATTAAGAAAAATACATGAAATGCCATTGTAACTTATGTATGACATCAGTTGTATGTCCCCATTGCACATCACCTAACCAACACAATGCCTGAGTTGCATTGCACTGATGTAGCTAATTATTAAATAACTAACTATACCAAGAGAAGGCTTAAATTCAAGTATACATCCCGGGTGAGAAATATAAAAGATAATTCCATGCCCTACCAGAAAGTCAAACTATCCTCCCATTAGTCAAAATATGAAATACACTCCCCATTTTATGACCCCCACTTACCCCCAAATAAATCCTGCAGAGTCCCTGAGATGAAAATATTTAGTTTCCCTCTCAAAGCACGTTTAATCATTCCTAGATTGGCAATTTTTAAAGCTTTCATTTAACTAGAAATTCCCCATTAAACAGAGGACAGCTTATGTAATGCATGCCATTACAGAAAACCAAAACCCTTAATAATCCATTCCAGCCCTACAAAATGCTAAGAAAAATCATAAATATTTGATTCAGAAGAGCTGATTTTCATTTAAACACCAGTTTATAATTATGGTTTCTCAAGGCGAGCTGTAGTTATATCACGTTTTTCTTCAGTTCCCTCTCAAAAATATTGATGCAGGAGGAAACAAATCTGTACCAGCAGCTGATCAGTAGTCAGTGCACGTTTCTGTTCGCCTCCCCCCAAGGCAGAATTTAATTAAGTTGTAAGCTTTTTTACCAGCTTATCAATCCTTTGGTCACCTTTTTAACTTAGCAGGCAGTTTGTGTCCATCTGCTAACACCTACATATTTTGTTTGAATTACACACTGCAGTGGTTACCAGACAACCTCCTCCTATAGCTGCCTGTATGCCATGGAAAACGGTTGTGAAGCTGTATCGCAGTACATTTCCGACATATCCTCAGGGTCAGCATGTAATAAACAATATCTACATGAAAGAGAATTTTGATACAATGTTGAGTGAGGTTTTCATCGTCTGACAAGTCTTCTAAATATAACAGTGATTGAGTTAGTATCATGATGCTTTGATATTACACTGGGTTTATGAGGTCTTGATTTTCAGTCAGTGTATGGGAATTGCGCTTTTTCAGGCACTGGTTAGCTTAGCATAATGTCTGGAAAAGGGTCCAGGCTCTGTCGAAAACATTTTAAAAGCACCTTCACAAAGTTACTGTTCCCTGACAGGATATAAATCGGCACAAAACTCCCCTGTAGATTTTTTTTTTTTTTTTTAGGTGCTTGTATGCTTGTTATGTTACTGTTGGATTGGACAGAGCCAGGTTAGCTCTTTCGCGTCATTATGCTAAGCTAAGCTAACTGACTGCTCGTTCTTGCTACTTCTTTGCCCTACACATGTAAGAGTGGTATTTTTCTTCTTATCTAACTTTCAGAAGCAAAGTGAGTATTAATATGGTCAAATCAATCATTGTAAGGCATTTAATGTCACTGGCCACAGGATCATCTAAGATCATCTAAAAAGAGGAACACTCCCTTCTGTGATGGTGTATAGTTGTATCATCCGGATTTGTGTGTACATATGAAAACAACCCTTACTTATTGGGGATGTTATAATATGTTGGTGTTATGTGTCGATGGATGCACCTCAATCAGTGTTTTTCTGTTGGTCCTTTAAAACATGTCAAATATTTGTAGGATCTGTCTAAATTAAATGTATTTGATCCAGGTAATAGATTTTAGCTGCGTGACCTTCCATTGTGGGTAAACATGCATTCTCCAACTCTGTTTATCTTCTATTACATTTGTATAGGAAGCTTTATGTGTCTTATCTCCTATACCCAGCCTACCACAGTTGTATTAAAACTGCATTATGTCTGTATTCTATTAGCTCTTATCACCAGATGTGTATCTTAATGTTGTCCCTCTCTCAGAGCCTCAGTACTGCCCCCTCCTAGGATTTAGTTTAACATTTGGGCTCCCCATGGCATTTTCCTCTCAAGGACATTGTGATAGATTACCAGAGTGCCCTGCTGTGGTAATCCCACCACCAAACTCACATTATGGTTAACGTTTGTGTGTCCTTACCATTGGAACACTGTTAAGAAATTGGTGTTTTGTTGTTTTCTGAGGTGGGAGAGACTGTTACTTCTACCAGATGCAATATATATTTTTCATTTAACATGAAACAGTTTGTGAATTATGCGTCACGTAAAAAAAAAAAATGTTACTTACTTTTTTTTTTGTGATGTCTTACTTTTCTTTTACAGGAAACCAAAAGTACAACCAAAAAGTCATGGTTCCCTTTTAATGTATTTAAAAGTGTATCAGATCATTTAAATGTTATATAACATTATAATGGTAATACGATGTACAAGGTCTGGTGCTATCACACATTTAAATTGTATGTAAGTGAAATATTTATTATGATATTTTCTCAAATATAATTTATATTTCACAAAATGGTTTTGGTGTTGTTACTGTCTCCTGTGGATCCTTCAAACCTTTTTTTAAGATAAGGTCATAAAATCTGTGATATAAATGTTGTGTGGCCTCCAGAGTCCACTTCTTTCCTTTTCTTGTGATTTCCTCACCAAACAAAAGGATAAAAGAGGTATATAAAACAGTCCAGATGATGCTTGGATAAAGACAGTTGGTCAGGGGATTTCAGAGACGATATACTCTGTTATTTCTTATGATCTGGAAGAATAATCTGGATAAATGTCTTTAGCCCTGAGCCGGCCAATATGTGACATGAAGAAGATGAGCAGACTTGCAATTTAGTGACTGGATGAAAGATGAAAATAATGTTGTATAAGTGACGTGGGTATTTAAATGTGGGAAATGAACTAAAGCCATGACCAGAACAGATAACTGTTTTACACAATGATGTGAAAATTAGCAATCCTAAACAAATGGGGCGAATCATACCTGAACACGTGGCGCACCTCGTCCCTCTTACAACCAACCAAACACATTCTCCTAAACATGCCGCTCTATTCAAGCTGCCAGGTCTTCCTGCCTCTGCCTCGCTATGCTGCTGCTGCACTGCTGTGTTCACTTGCTATTGCTATGTTCATGTTCCTGCTGTGTTTCATGTTGCTGCTGCTCGCCTGCCCCACCACCACCCCAGCTCCACCTGTAGGCTCGGGGGATAGTTATCTAATCATCACTCAATGTTCTTTGTAAGTCTGTGGAGTGATGAGGCCCGAGCCTAGACGCCAAACTCAAACTATATGCTGCTTATAATAAACATATTAAGAAACCCGTGAGTTGTCTGACTGAAATACAAATAAAGTCAAATAGTGCACGTCGCATGCACTTACAACCATAACAATGGGACACAGTTAATTGCCTTTGCCATGTAGTGACATTTTAAATATGACAGTTATGAGAAGGTAGCAAGACAAATATACATATTAATATTGTCACGATGATTTCAAACACAAACATTCGTCCTAATTTGCATTTATTTTGCCTGTGGAAAGAGTATAACTAAATATATGTCCCAAGAATGTCTTCAAAAAGCATCTGAAAATTGTCCAGCAACCCTGAAAACATGTCTTGGAGCTTGTTAAGAAAAATATTGACCCTGACAAAGAAAAAGGATAAGCTGCTGCTTTAAGGATTTCTAAGCCTCATGAACTTCTCATTTGAACTAAATCAACCAGGGATATAGGCTTGAGGTCCTTTTAAGGGTGCACCTGCTTGATTATGCCTGTACATCAACTGTGTACAACATTTCCCACTGCAGCTATCATCCAGAGCTGTGATACAGTGCGCCTGCTGTCCTGGGAGAACCTTGACTTCCTCTACTTGAATAGATTGAGTCTACTTGCGGATAAATCAAGAAAAGAAAAGTCTGACTTTGCTGGACACACAAGGGGGAAAATAATGAGTGGGGGATCATTTAGACGTGCTGCTTTCTAGGTAACGCATCATCACAGGGAGCAGAGCAAAGCTGCACTGCAGTGAGGAAAGTTAAATATTAAAATGGATGCAGTAGATAATGTGAGGCTCCCTATGGTTTATAGATGAGTTGGATAAGGACAGACTGTGTGCTGCACCTGTTGGTGGCTTCACTAGACCTGGCGTGAACATCCATTAGTAATAAGGCCACTCTGATGTACCTGACATCCTGTATCACACGGTGATCACTGTTCTGTTCTGCCCACAAAGACAGGACATCTCCTTGTGATATATATTCTGGATATTTCACAGTGAATGTTCATAATGGTGCTGGCTGGCTGCCTGCCATGGCCTACCTTCCCTTCTCTCGCTCCACCCATCCATCAGCGCTGCACCGACATGTCCGTCCATACAGTGGCTTGTTTTAATGATTGATGAGGTGAGCTAAAATAGTCCACCTGCACTTCGGCTCTGTGATGTGCCGCACTCTCCCGCCACGCTCCATGTATTAATAAGAGAGTGTCGTCATGCAGTTCAAGTGAGTCATGCTCACTTTTTCACTGTTCCAGTCTTAGTTTATAACAAACAAATATTCAGCAGACTTTGTGTACTATTGTTGACCTGCTCTAATTTGGCTCTTTGCGATCCGAAAAATATTGCAGCGGTTTGGTTTCGAGAGTTAAAAATATATATATATTAGGGCCGGGACTTTAACGCGTTAATTAAGATTAATTAATTACACAAAAATTAACGCGTTAAAAAAATTAACGCATTTTAATCGCACTTATTTTTGCACCGCAGAACGTTTCTCACTGGATGAGTTTCAGGCGTACCGATTATACTGGAGCACCAACTAACGTTCATGACTTCAGACAACAACAAACCACAGTGAACAACAGTGGGAAATGTTGTTTTAAAAAACGGACGGATGGAAGCGTCGATAAGAGCACGGTTGTGTGCAAATTATGCAAAAAAAAATTCGCATATCACCGCAGCACATCAAGCCTCAAGTATCACCTCAATGCAAAACATATAGCAGCTAGCGTGGAAGCTAGCGTGGACGTTAGCCTCTTTTATAGCGTTCACACCAAAAAGAGCCGGTACTAAAATTAGTTCATGAGAACCTTTTTACCCCCACGAAAGTCCCTGCTAGAGAGCAGAGAGCTGCTAGAGAGCAGGGACTTTCGTGCGGCTCTCTTGTGAGAAAAGAGCTATATTTCTGATTGGCTGGGCGGATTGCAAACCACGCCCCGTAAAACTCCCAAAAAGTTTTGTGAAGCCGCCATTTTATTATCCTCGCATTAGCATTATTAGCATTAGCCCAGCGCAGAAACGCAGAGAGACTAACTTATGGCAACACAAAATAAAACATGGGAGCGGTGGAGATGAGGAGGTTTTCGGCGTTCTGGCGATTTACTCGGAAGGCTTCAGTAGAACTCTGGGGACTTCCGGCCGGGGACTTTGGGCGGCAGTATACGCCGTGAAGTGGTTTGCGGCCTGCCAGTAAACCCAAAGCAGAAGAAGAAGAAGTGACGTCAGTGGCTTAATTTGCCTAATCCACCCCCAGGTTCAAAGAGTTCTCATGAACTAAGTTCTCATGAACCTTTGTGGGAAAAGTACTGCGGTGTGAATGCGCCTAATGGTATACTAAAATCCATGTGAAAAAAATTGCTTCTCACTGTTCTCAGGTCAAATATGTATATGTGATTAAAAATGCGATTAATTTCGATTAATTAATTACAAAGCCTCTAATTAATTAGATTAATTTTTTTAATCGAGTCCCGGCCCTAATATATATATATATAGGCCTACTGTATGGTTGAGCAAAGGACAACATAGGAGTTAAATGTTTATCATCTTTTTCATAATAATGTTAGCAATAATGCTAAAAGGCACATCAAATCTGCATTATAAGTCAAAAATATAGACATACCGTTAATTGTTAGTTCTAGCGTCGCTTCAGAAGAATTGTATGTACAGAAAACTTTTACCAAGTAGAAGTGAATGAATCAAATTGAGATTAAAAGTGTGGGAAATGAAGCTATTTACATTCATAAACACTTGAGATTCACAGCTAAATTGTTGTTATTGTTGTTCCTGTTTCCTGCAACCTCCTTCATTTGTGTCCACCTGCTCAATTAAATCTGACAAAACCTTCCCTGACCCTGATATAATTTAACACACTTAACGCAGCTTTCATCACCAATGCCAACCGGTCCATGTTATACAGCTTTACTGAAATGTAAATCCTAATTTGCCTTCAACATCTACATCTGTAGTAAAGCTATTTATTTTTAAATATTTCCATAGTTAGATAACCCTGTGCCCTATAATTACAGCACCCAGATGTGCATGTTTTAGAAACCTCAATACAACCTAATGGGGCAAACTGGACATCACCCCCCTCTTTTCAAACTTCTCAGAAACTGCTTTCTTCCTTCCATGTTTTGTTATCATAGACATAGGGCCACCCATTTGACCCCTTTAATGAAGGCAGAATCACCAAAAATAAAAGGAGAAACGAGTGGGTGAGATTGGTATGAAGATAGATCAAACTCATTTTATTTTTGCGACACAGGCAGATGGTCTTATAATAGGTTAGAAGAAGAGCCACTCTAAAAGCTCCTCAACTGGAGAGCCTGAGAAAATTGATCTTTTATCTTGTCATCAAAACTAATAAAAAATATTTCACAGCTCATTTTGAGTGGAAACTATTTCTGAGACTGACCTTCGACCCCCCTTTATGGTTAAACAATTGGTGAAGGGGCACAGAGAGGAGCAGATAACAGAAGGCAGCACAAATGGGGGAAACACATCTTTGGAATTGGGGAATTTGACGAGCAGATGGTGATGTTTCTTTGCCTTCCAGGCACACGTTAAAGCCCTGAGATGAAGAGGGGAAAACAGGAGAGGAAATAAATGTACAGCACTGTGAAGTTTATATTATGACTGTAATTGCAGTGTTAGAGAGGGAGAGAGAATGAAAGCAGAAGACACAAAAGCGAAGATAAGGCAGCGGAGGGAGAGGAAAAATGTAAATTCTGTGGTGAAAGGAAGCTAAATACATTTATTCAAGTACTGTACTTATTAAGCACATTTTCAAGTTCATATTTGTATGTTGTGCCTCTACTGTGACATGTTAACATGCTTTAATGTTCAAAGAGTGCTTTATTTCTCTCATACTGCCTGTGCTGCAGCACCTCTTTTCACCCTCTGTCTGAAACCAGAGCCCAGCGCTTTTGTGATTGGTCAACTGCTTAGAGATCTCCCGCCTCTTCGCCTATCACATACAATGTGTTGGAGCGCTAGCCAATAGAAACGTGAGTGTTACAGTAATGTCATTATGTCAAGGAAGTAAATAAAGGAGTCCAATGGAGGCATTTTAGGCGGGGGGGGGGGGGGTTGTGTGGGAGAGAACGTTGGGATTTTAGCCTTTACAGACCGTTTACATTTTAAAAGTGCCTTTGTGTGTAATTATTGCTTTTAGCTTGAGCAATTTAAGTAGGCTATATTTCAAAGCCAATCTTTTAGTACATTAAAAAAATGCAATGCAAGACTTTTACTTTGATCAGAGTAAATCTTCACTGATGTATTGTTACTTTGCTTTTAAGTAGAACATCTGAGTATTTATTCTACCT